ATTATCACTATTAATATCATTATCATCTTCATTATCATCAATATCATTATTATTATCAATATTATTATTATTATAATCATCATTAGTATTATTACCATTATCATTATTACTGTTGGTGAGTCCTGGCTCAATAGTGTGGCTCTGTACCTACTCCCAGATATTAACCTTTGGAGGAAACACTGGGGGGAAGGGTAATGCCCCTCCTACCCATCAAGTGAAGCAGGCTGTGTCCCATTGGGAGGGTGGCTGCAGGGGCGCAGGATGTGAACGTTACTCATCCCGCCTGCATCCTGGCAGCTGCCAACCCAATTTGAGGCAAAGCCTAAGGGAATCCCACAGTTGGACTTTCGGTCCCATAGCCTGCCACACCTCTATATATGGGGTAGCGTCGGCGGGGGTGGCAGAGGTGACGTCCATCTGGAACAACTACCCGAGATTTAACCTCATTTGGTCTTGTAAGCACTTGCTGGAGGAACTACAGGGTGCAACACTGGGCAATATCAAGGTCACAGACCTCGGTTTTGCCGATGTGAGGTGAAGCATCTGGGCTTAGAATCCTAGTCGAAGAGCAAGTTCCAGGATTTTGGGGATCTGTTAGGGGAACCTATTCCATTGATACATGTTTGTGGTGAGGGCGTTGAAGTCACAGAGCTTTACATACCTTGGTAGTGCAGTCCATGTCTCTGGGCTGTCAAAATTAGGTCTGTAGACAGACTGGTCTGGCAGCATGATCTCGTCAACAAGAGTATTTGAAGGCGTCGTTACCTATGCACAAGGGCCAAGTTATGTCTTCAAGGCCTTGATACTGCCAGTTATGCTCTTTGGAAGAGAAACCTAGATGCTTTCTAGTGCCTTGCTGTCACATGGTAGGACCATGTGTCCAACATTGTGAGACTGGCATGAAACCTGTTACTTGCATAATCTGTGACTGCCAACTCGGGCTGTACGGCCACCTAGTTTGTTTCCTTTGTCTTCATAAGGGAATTCTGCGTGGAGGAAGCCCGCAGGATGACCGAGGAAGACCTGTTGTGAGGAGCTTGAGATGAGCCAAGGACCCGCCTAGCGGTTTACCACGAGGGACCCCCGTGGCTGGAAGCGTAGTGTGCATGTGGCTGTGCGCTCCCGTTGGCATCAGCCCCGTTGATTGATTGTTTTTCATTATTTTTATTATCATTACTATTATTATTATTTTCATTATCATTATTATTATTATTATTATTTTGCTATTGATTGTTTTTATATTTTAATTTCTTTAAAAATTATGATTTAAATATAATAGTAATAGAAATAATGATGATTTTTATTATCTGGTCATTATTAGTGTCGTTATTATATTGTTATCGTTATTAGTATTACTATTATTTTTTATTATTGTTATTATTATGTATATTTATTATTGTTGTTGTTATCGTTATTAGTATTACTATTATTTTTTATTACTGTTATGTATATTATTATTATTATTTTATTATTATTATTATCATCATCACCATCATCATCATCACCATGACGATCATCCTTATTGTTATTATATTTATTTTTCTTATCCTTATTTGATCATTATTGTTATCACTGTTATCATTATTTTGATTATTATTCCCTTCCTCCCTCTCCCATACCTCTTTTCTCTTAGCCCCGCTTCCTTCCCAATACGTATCCTTTTTTCCTCTTTAAATTTCCTCCGTTTCCCTTTCCCCATCTCCCATCTCTCTTTATGTCCCCTTACCCTCCCTTTCTTCCCTTTTCCCTTCCTGTTTTTCTTTATTAATTTATTTATTCCACTGATAGCCGTGTGAATAATAATTGGGCATAAACACGGTCTAACTACTTCATTGCGGTGGATTTGCCTAGAAGAAGAATGATAATAATAAACATACTAGTATAGAGATAAGAATAACAGTAATAACAGCAATAATGATAACAGAGTTGGAATAAGATTCTCATTTATTTGTATCATAATGAATGTGTGCCTGTCTTCAGTATCTATGTTGTCAATGATTACCTCATTTTACACTAAAATGAATTTACTTCGTCTGTAGTCAACCGGAATATAATTTCAGGCGTATTATTAAGCAAGCATAACGTTCGAACGGACGGACAAACGAATCACAAGCAGTTTAATAATACTGATAACAGTAATAACAAAAATAATAATGTTAACGATAATATTCGTTGATGATATTCCATAATCATGACTATCGTATTTTATTGTTGTTATTTTCACTATTATCATTATTGCTGATAACAGTGGCAGTATTTGTATTTTCTTTTGATTTTCTTATATTGGGAAGTATTTATTTTTCTGCCAAATGACACCATGAGCTTCCGTGAAAACGACTGTGAATGAGAGAAAATCGATGCGCATTTCGTTGACTTGTAAGGATGACACCGGATTATATGTTTCAGTCAACAATTGTTTGACTTTTTTTTTTTTTTTTTTGAATAACAGAGTGAACACCATTATATTAATTTGGAATCATGGCACCAGATTCCTCTTATC